CAAGTCAACACGACGTGTTGGCTGAGGTTTTCCCGACTGTTTGGATGCTGGCGATACACGACGTGGCCAAGGGGAACACGACGTATTGGCTCAACATGGACTGTTGACCTTGACCTTTGACTTTGACCAAGTTGGACCATGAGTGTATTTTGGGTATTTTGAGATTTTGATGGAATTGGTCACTTGGAGGAAATAGGTATCGGTTAGAGAGATGAGATTCTGAGTCGGAACTCATCAGTTCTATTTAGTCTGCGAGGTGAGTTCTTCTCACTATACTTGCAGGCTGAAGATACCAAGGCCGACCCATTGGTTTGATAACCTGATATTTGTTGATATGTTGAGTGCGGAATAGATATGCTGCTAGTTTTGATATGCTCGTCTGGTAGATCTTTAGGACTACCTATGATATTGTTTGATTATCTGTATATGTTGTTATCTGTTATATGTTGACATATTGTGTTGGTTGGGTTGAGGTTGTATTGCTCAGTGCGGTAGCCAACAAACCCTGGAGCAATCCAGATATGTGCTGAGAGCTGGGGAGGGCATGCCAGACTCATACTGAGGGCTCATGAGCATTCTAGATACGAGCTGAGGGTCGGGAAGGGCATGCCAGACTCGTGATGAGGGCTTAGTGGTATCCAGTCCGAGGACTGATCTGGTCGGGGAGCCAGCCAGACATAAGTTGTGGGCCTAAGGGCAATCCAGACTTATGTTGTGGTCTTAGGGGTAATCCAGTCCATTAGTTGTCGACCGATTGCATGCTGTTATTATATTTGTGTTATTTTTTTATGTTGGGAAACTCACTAAGCTTGGGGCTTACAGTTTTGGGTTATGTTTCAGGTAACTCAGATGATCACGGGAAGGCGAAGGCGTAATCATGCACCTCCTCGTGTTTTGATTTATGATTTTGAGAAAACTCTGATATTAAACATGTTTTGAAAATTATATTGTAAACAAATATGATTTCTGGTGGGTTTTAAAAGTTAAATTTTTTTCATGATTTTTATGGATGTTACATCGCTGCTTATCAGCAGCCTCTGATGAACCTGTTGCTGCCTTCTCAGCAACCACGTGTTGGTGCCTTCTCAACAGGTCCTTCCTGCCTTCGGTCAATAGCAGTTGTACCGGTTTCCCATCTATGATTCCAATCAGTAGCCTCTCGGCACTAACTACCAGCAATCCTACGGTACATCATCCTTCACATGCCTACGGTGGTCATGCCTCGCACTAACAATTCACCGAACTCTCTTCAATCTTCCAAGAAATGTACGTGCAACCTACCGTGACAATAACTACTACATGGATTTTGGAGCATGCTCTCACGTGTATTTTAATTAAGGTACAATGAAATCTCTAACTCCATATAGCTTTAAATTCAATGGGGTTGGAAATGGTGATGTACTCCCTGTTAACTCCATAGGTCAATCTTTTTTCCTTATTCTAATAAGCATTTTTCTTTTAAAGAAGTGTTTGTTTATGAAAAAATGGTTAAAAATCTCATTTATGTTCATTGATTTATTGTTGACAACCTTGTCTCTATTGAGTTTGGCCCATTTGGTTTCACTATGAAGGATCTTAGCATTGGTGCTCCTATCCAACGCTGCACAGTCCTTACTCTAATCGTTATCTTATTCTCCCCTCCAATAATCGTGTTTCTTCTCCCACCGCTCTTGTTGCTGTCTCTCATGATATTTGGCACCAAAGACTTGCTCATCCATAAACCATTATTTTTCAGTTTCTTTAGTCACGTATTTTATTTCATGTCTTAGTAAAAACACATCATTGTGTCGTACTTTTCAATTAGGAAAACATTGTCATTTACCTTTCTCTTTATCACAAACTAAAACTACTCATGTGTTTTAACTAATACATTATGATTTATGGACATCTCCAATTACTAGTCTAAGTGGTCTCAAATATAACATTATTTTCTTGGATGATTTCTCTCACTTTTAATGGATTTTTCCTCTTCTTAACAAATCTTAGGTGTTTTTTTTTAAATCTTTCCGTGCTTATGTTGTTAATCAAAACAAAACTGGTATCCAACTTTTTCAATGTAACAACGGTCGTAAATTCAACAACAAACCCCTACTGGATTTCTTTTAAGATCATGGCACAAAAGTTCATTTTTTGTCTCCGTACACCTCCCAACAAAATGGGAAAGTCGAATGCACCATACGAACTCTCAACAACATCATTCACACCCCTCTTATCCAAGTATCTCTTCCACCTTGTTCTTGGGCTGAAGTGCTCTTTACCGTTATTCACACGTTCAACATTCTTCCGTCCACCACTATCAATCTTAAGACCCTATTTGAAATTCTCTTTGGAGTTTCTCCTTCCTATGACCATCTTCGCATATTTGGGTTTTTTCGTACCCCAATCTCTCTTCCATTTCTCCTCACAAGATATCTTATCGATTTTCCGCTTGTGTATATATTGGCCCATCAACTGATCATCGTGGTTATCAATGCCTTGATCTCATCATTCGAAAATTCATTATCTCTTGTCATGTCAAGTTTGATAAAACTCACTTTCCATACTCTAAATTTAATTCCCCCTCTTCCACCAAAGACTATGACAGTCTCTTTCATGAAGATCCATCCACTTTTGTTCCAATATCTCAACCTTCCTCCTCCCTAGTAACCACCTCCTCTGGGTCTAACACGGATCCTTGTATATATTCATCTACCACTAGTGACTCATCTGAGCTACCTCTATTGTCCTTTCCCTCTCTGGCTCCTCCCTCCACTAGTCTTTTGATGGTCACTCGTTCGCGCATTAGTTCCTTCAAGCCTCGTCAAATATTCAATATCTCTATCTCCCCTAATGTCTATCATATGCCTCGATCCACTTCCCATGCCATGTATGATCCACATTAGCGTACGTGTCGCTATGGACTAATGAATTCTCTTCAAACAAATCATACATGGGATCTTATCCCCAAACCTGTCAATGCCAACATTGTTGGCTGTCATTGGTTATATCGTCAAAATTTTGACAGTCAAGGTCGCTTGGATCGTTATAAAGGTCACCTTATTGCATGAGGATTCTCTCAACAACCGGGCCTTGATTTGATGATACTTTCAGTCACGTTGTAAAACCTGCCACCATCCGTACTATTCTCAACATCTCAGTTTTCATAAACCGGCCTATACATTAGCTTGATGTAAAAAATGCTTTTCTTCACAGTGATCTTGTTGAAACCATCTACATGCATCAACCCCTAGGCTACCTCAACCCTAAATTTCCTGATCATGTTTGTTGCCTCCATAAGGCTCTTTATGGCCCCATACAACCCCTAGAGCCTGGAATCAACAATTTTCCATGTTTTTTCTTCTCTTGGATTTTATAGCAGTAAGTCTGATAGCTCCCTCTTTACCTATCATTGTGGAAAGGATGTGATCTGTCTTCTCCTATATATGGATGATATCATTCTCACTGCCTCTTCCACTACCTTAATAACTTTAGCTATTCGTAACTATGAGTAATCCCATTACGCAAGTATTTGTATCTAATTCATAGTTAAGCATCCAGAACAATCTCAATAGTTTTCTCTATGTATGAGTTCCTCTCTCTCGATTTTCCTAAGACTGACTTTGTCCTCCTATCATTTTTCTTTGGCATTACTACTACTTGGTCTGACGACATCCTCTTTCTTTCTCAATTTGTGTTCGCTCAAGAAATTCTTACACATGTTGATATGATTATGTGTAATCTTTATAGCACCCCGACTGACACTAAAACTAAGCATGATGCGCTTATGATTCGGCTCTGACTCTCTATTGAAGCCTCGTTGGAACCCTACAGTATCTTACATTTACTCGTCCTGATATTGCTTATGCTGTTCAGCAAGTCTGCCTCTTTATGCATGACCTGCATGTCCTATACATTTAGGCTCTCAAGCACATCATGCAGTACATCAAAGGTTCCATAGATCATGGTTGTGTCTATCTTGGTGATAATCTTGTCTCATGGTCTTCCAAACGGAAACATGTCGTATCTCGTTCCAGCACCGAAGCCGAGTACCGGGGGATAACTAATGTAGTTGCTAAAATTGCATGGCTAAGAAATCTTCTTCTCTAGTTATATTGTCCATTGTCTCGTGCCACTGTTGTCTTCTATGATAATGTTAATGTTAGTGCCATGTATTTAGTCTTTAAACCAATACAGAACCAGCGAAACAAACATGTAGAAACAAATTTACATTTTGTTAGGAAGCGTGTTGTTATTGGTCATGTGCTTGTTTTACATGTTCCATATGCTTATCATACGTTCCATATGCTTATCAATATGCTGACATTTTTACAAATGGACTACCTACACAGTTATTTTTGGATTTTAAAACTAGTTTGAACATTCGAGAAGCTCTTGTTCCAATTACTAAGGTTTGTTAAGAAGGAAGGGGAGTGTTTGTTGAGGATAAGGTGGTGTAGAGTGTTTTAGCACTATTAAAATGGTTTTCCAACTTATTCTTTATAATGGGAAACAGAAAGATGCACTTGTGCATCGACATAGAGTATTAAGTATGAATATAACATATTTATTCAATGTCTAAAAACGTGGAGACTCGAATATAATAAACATATAAAATAAATAAATAAATAAATAAAATAGATAACTTAATATAATTGAAGTGAAATGAGCACAAACCCACGTATCCTCATTCCTCTCCTGTGGATTATACGATAGTGTCAAAGATCGCCAGCAAGCAGTCCATAATGTTAAGCTTGTTCACATCGGTATTCCAACCTTCAAACCAATTTTATATAATTTTTTATAAGTAGAAACAATTCCACGTTCAGAAAAAAAAATTAAAAATTACGCGTTTTTAATTGCATTTTTTCTGTACTTAAGTAGGAAAGAAACTCTCTGAATTCCCACCATTGAATCAAATGAGAATTCAAACTTCATCCTTGCTTTTGTTGGTATGCTTTTGCTCAAGCTTTTTTGGGTTGCATCCAATACTGGTTTCAGGACGATGTCTTAATAACCAGAAAATGTTGCTTTTGGCTTTGAAAAATGAAGTCAAATTTGACTCTTCACTCTCAACGAAGCTCGTGGGGTGGAACCAAAGTGTTGACTGCTGCGATTGGGGTGGTGTGGCATGTGACAAAGCTGGCCATGTCATCGGACTTGATCTTAGTAACGAAAGCATATCTGGTGGGTTCAATGGCTCCTCAAGTGTTTTTAGTCTTGGATTTCTCAAATCATTCAACTTGGCGTATAACAGCTTCAATTCTGCTCAGCTGCCATTGGGATTTGGAAAGCTTACTCAGGTGAGCTATCTGAATTTATCAAACGCAAATTTCGTAGGTCAGATTCCTGGAGATTTTTCATCAATGAAGAGGTTGGTTACCCTTGATCTGTCTTCAAGTCCTTATTACACTCTCGTTCTCGAAAACCCAGATCTCAAAATGCTCATTCAGAACCTTAAGGAAGTAAGAGAGCTCCATCTTGACAATATGAAAATCAGTACCCATGGGTATCATTGGTCAGGGGTCATATCTTCTTCCCTACCCAATTTGCAGGTTTTAAGCTTGAAAAGCTGTGGCCTTTCAGGTCCTCTTGACTCTTCACTTTCTATGCTTAAAAACCTTTCGTTCATTCTTCTAGACGAAAATACCTTTTCATCTGATATCCCCGAGTCCTTTGGTAGCCTCCAGAGTTTAAGAGTTTTGAGCCTTCGCGCATGTAATCTTAGTGGTTCACTGCCGAAAAAAATCTTCCAGATACCCACTCTAAAGACGATCGATCTTTCTAGCAATGTAATTCTCAAAGGTCCTCTCCCCGAATTTCCAGAGAACGGGTCTCTTGAGAATCTGCTTCTCAGTTACACAGAGGTTGGAGGGACACTACCAGATTCTATTGGTAATCTTCCATTGTTGTCCAGGATAGAGCTTAGAGGTTGCAAATTCACTGGGCCAATTCCAGATTCGATGAAAGATCTTACCCGTATTGTCTATTTGGATCTATCTTCTAATCATTTAACCGGTTCAATCCCATCGTTTCGGTTGTCTAAGAATCTAGCCTATTTAAATTCCTACCTAAACAATTTAACCGGTGGAATTCCTTCTTTTCAAGGTCTGAACAGTCTCCAGTTTCTTGATTTGAGTTATAACTCCTTGAATGGGGATTTCCCAGAGTCTTTGTTAGCATTGCCATCGCTCGAGTACGTATACCTTTCCAGCAACAGGTTATCCGGTCAATTTCGTAAAGATATTGATGTTTCTTCTTATGAACTACGTAATCTGGATCTGAGTAGCAACAAATTTGTAGGACCAATACCTGGATTCATCTTCAAACTTCCAGTCCTTTCAACCCTCACCCTTTCTGAAAATAACTTCAATGGCGTTGTAGACTTAGAGATGTTTGGAAAGTTTAAGGAGCTATACGCACTTGATCTTTCCTATAATGATCTTACAGTCAAGGTAAATACTGGAAGCAAATCATCGTTTTCCTCTGAGCTCAACACATTGAAGTTAGCTTCATGTAAGATGAAAGAGCTTCCAAATTTGAAGAACCAATCAAGGCTGATGATGATAGATCTTTCTGATAATGAACTTACGGGTGAAATACCCAACTGGATTTGGGAAGTTGGCAATGGTTACCTTCGGTTTCTGAATTTGTCGAGCAATAAGTTTTCAAGTCTCCAAAAGCCTTACACGTTTCCTTTTCTACTCGATGTTCTTGACCTGCATTCTAATGTTCTTGAAGGAGATATCCCGATTCCTCCAAGACGAGTTTATCATCTGGATTACTCCAACAACAACTTTGGATCTTCGATCCCAGTTAATTTCGGGAATGTCCTGACATCGACCTTGTTCTTCTCTATGTCCAACAGCAAACTGGTTGGAGTCATTCCTCAATCGATACGCAATGCCACTTCTCTCCGAGTTCTTGACTTATCCCACAATACACTTACAGGTCCGATTCCATCAATTGGAAACTCGAAAGATCTGCAATCCTTGGACCTTTCAGTCAACAAGCTAAATGGGAGCATCCCTGTGGAGCTAGCAAGTCTTAGTTTACTTTCATTCCTAAATCTCTCTTATAATCATCTTTCTGGAAAGATCCCACAAGGCTCACGGTTTCAAACATTTACAGAGTTGTCCTTTAAGGGAAACAAAGAGCTATGTGGCCCCCCTTTGAAGAAGAGTTGTGATAAAAAGAGAATATGACCACAAATCATTGAAGTTGCATACTAGAGATCCAGTCACTGGATCTGTTTTGGGATGCATATCCAGTGGGGATTGTGGTCATGGATAACATGATACGAACATACATTAATAAGGGAATCGTTTTAGAGGATCCTACAGCATTGTATACTTACATGCATGATGATCAGAGCATGTTTACCTATCTAACAGCACTGTACCTATATATGCATTTGGAATAAGACCGTTATATATCTCACAAGAAGTTTTCATGATTTTGAATAAGACCGTTATATATCCTTCTATAATTAAGTTTAATCCATTGCATGCCAAACAGACATTCTATCCCATTCAACCATTTCATTAAACTATGCCTTGTAGATGCTCTAATGAAAATTCTAATTACATTCCATCCTTAAATACACTAGAATGTGCACAAAAACTATAAACTTTACCCTAATCAAAGGGCCATGAGGATCTCCTTAATGACCTTTGAAAGGGTCATGAGGGTCATCTTAAATGTTAAAAAGTATGATAAACGCCATGAGGATCTCCTTAATGACCTTTGAAAGGGTCATGAGGGTCATCTTAAATGTTAAAAAGTATGATAAACGATGCAAAAGACAAGTTTTGTAATTAATTTCATCAATATGTCCTTAATTTCAAATATAAATATGTATTTTAACATGTTTATATGTATTAAAACATATTTTTACATATAAATAAAGTATTTTTATATTTAAATATGTATATTTTTTCATATGACACAAATGTCTGGTGCATTTGGTCCCAAAATTATATTTGTTGCTTTACGTGGGAACCAACTTATGGGCAACCTGACTTTTTAGTCCCATAGTCCCCTAGACTTATTTTACCCGGTTTGAGTGCCACATCCACAATATTAGCCACATCAGCCATGAGATGGCAACCAACTTACTGTTACACGATGAGGGAATGTCACATTATGTATGACTCGTAGGGCCTAAGTCTTGACTTTTCATTACCTGCCTCCGTGTATATATACACATGTTGGCGCCCTAAAATGGCAAAATCCCTAAGATTCTTACCATTCTTCGCACATAACTTCATACCCTAATCTCTAAGAAGATGTCGTCACCTCCTTCTCCCGCTCATGGTTGGTCCTTTAGCGACCGACATCACATGGAAGAGAACGGTTCCAATGGATTGTGGGAACAAACATGGCCATCACCCTCTTTCAAACACAGTTGGAGGTCTCATTGATCCGTGAGGATGTTGTTGCTGACTTACTAAAATGGATGCTCTAAGACGTCATGGCAGGCCGAATCGATGTGTTCAATATGGTGGTTGACCTGAAGAATCACTTCTACTCTCTTCAATCTGTGTATATCAAGAGGATGGTCAACAACAACAACGTGATGAAACTAAAATGTGTTGTGGGTTTTCTGGATGTGGTTGGGGTCGGGTTTTTAGGCTACAAGTCCTTCCACTGATGGATGTGTTGAGTATGAATCCACAGAAAAGCTGGTCAAAAATGGCAGGAACAATGTGAAGTTGTGAAGCCACAATTGTTGAATGAAGACCCAGTTGTGTTTTTTGACTACTTCTGATTTCCATCTCTATATAAGAGATTATTCTGTATTTGTAACACTTGTATCTAGTGTAACAAAGAAAGAGTGCAGATTAGCACCAAGAAATATAAACTCCAAGTTACCCTCGTGTGGACGTAGGTCAGAAATAGACCGAACCACCTTAAATCCTTGTGTTCTTATTTTTCGTGAGCTGTGTGTGTGTTTAGAGTCGTGTGTTAAGTGTCTCGATCCTAACAAGTGGTATCAGAGCGTTGGTTTAGCTCCAGAAGGTGATTTTCAGTTTTTTGGTCGAAATTTGTTTTCGTCAAAAACGATTTTGGTGTATACCGTTGGAAAGGTCTCGTTCCGAAGATTCCGAAAATATTTTTTTCTGAATTTTTCGACCACCGGAAGACGTCCAAATCGCCGGTCAAAGGTTCGCCGGAATAGTGACCGGGAAAACCAGTTCGCCGGAGAAGACGACACTGTAGCGTCGGAGCCTTGCCGGAGAAGACGACACTGTACGCCGGAGCCTTGCCGGAGAAGACGACACTGTAGCGACACTGTAGCAGAATTTTAGCAGAATTTGAAAAACTCAGATTTGGTCCCTGAAGTTTCAGAAAATTGCAAGACAGGTCCTGTTCTTTCAGAAAATTGCAAAAATGGCAGAAGATGGTAAAATCAAAATTGACAAGTTTGATGGAACCGATTATGGATTTTGGAAGATGCAAATTGAAGATATGTTGTATCAGAAAAGTTTGCATTTGCCTATGTTGGGCGAACAACCGGATGACATGTATGATGAAGAATGGAAGTTGTTGGATCGACAAGCCTTGGGTGTAGTTAGGCTTTCATTGGCAAAGAGTGTTGCGTATAACATTGTTAATGAAACAACTACTTATGGAGTATTTAAGGCTTTGTCCAACATATACGAGAAGCCGTCCGCTTCCAACAAAGTGTTCCTCATCAAACAATTGGTTAACACCAAAATGAAGGAAGGCATGTCAGTTACCGCTCACATAAACGAGTTTAACTCGATTATCTCTCGTTTAGCCTCAGTTGCAATAAAGTTTGAAGATGAAGTACAAGCGCTCCTCCTTTTATCATCTTTGCCCGATAGTTGGTCAGGCACCGTCACAACTGTTAGTAGTGCATCCGGCACTATTAAACTCACTTTCGAGAGTATTCGTGACTTGATTGTAAATGAAGATATCAGACGGAGAAGCAATGGTGAGACTTCTAGTTCTAGTTCTAGTTCTTTATTGCATACATAAAGTAGAGGAAGAAGAAACGAAAGAGGACGTAGTCGAGGCAGATCAAAGTCCAGAAAAAGGGGGCAGTCCAAGAACCGAAAAGATATTGAATGTTGGAATTGCAAAGAAAAGGGTCACTTTAGAAGCCAATGCCCAAAACTACCAGCTGAAAAGAAAGAAGTAAACAATGTATCCTCTGAAGAATCGGGAGATTTTCTCATATGCTGTGTTGAGAATTCAGTGGAATCCTGGATTATGGATTCGGGTGCTTCTTTCCATGCCGTCTCATGCCCAAATATGGTCAAGAACCTACAAACAGGTGATCTTGGCAAAGTTCGTTTGGCCGATGATCAAGTGCTTGATGTTACGGGTATTGGGGACGTAGATTTGAAGACCTCCATGGGAACCAACTGGACATTGAAAGATGTCAGGGTTATCCCAAACTTAAGGAGAAAGTTGATTTCAGTTGGAAAATTGGATGATGAAGGGTTTAATGTTCACTTTGGGGGTGGACAATGGAAAGTGATCAAAGGCAACTTGGTGATTGCCAAAGGAAAGAAGAAAGGCACTCTATACATGGTAGAGATACCTGGTGATGGTGTTCATGCAGTAACCACCAATCCGAGTCCATCTAATTTATGGCACCAGCGACTCGGACACATGAGCGATAAGGGATTGAAGATGTTGGCTCAGAAAGGAAAGTTTCCAGACTTGAAGAAAGTCGAAACTGAATTTTGTGAATCTTGTGTTCTCGGGAAACAAAAGCGGGTTACTTTTGTAAAAACGGGGAAGACACCGAAAGCTCAGAAGTTGGAGCTTGTTCACTCGGATGTATTTGGACCAACACCAGTTTCATCTCTAGGAGGCAAAAACTACTATGTAACCTTTATCGATGATTCAACACACAAGGTATGGGTCTATTTTCTTAAAAATAAATCTGATGTATTTGATACTTTTAAGATATGGAAATCTGCTGTTGAAAATGAAACTGATTTGAAGGTAAAATGCCTGAAGTCGGATAATGGTGGTGAATACATAAGCAAGGAGTTTGTTGACTATTGTGCCAAGAAAGGGATAAAGATGATCAAGACGGTCCCAGGAACCCCTCAGCAGAATGGTGTAGCTGAAAGAATGAATAGAACTCTGAATGAAAGGGCTAGAAGCATGAGGTTGAATTCTGGTTTACCTAAGACATTTTGGGCTGATGCAGTTAATACTGCAGCCTACTTGATCAACCGTTCACCGTGTGTTCCCTTGGATTTTAAATTACCAGAAGAAATGTGGCAAGGGAAGGAAGTAAGTCTCAAACACCTGAAAGTCTTTGGTTGTACTGCTTACAGTTTGTTAAAAGATGGTGACAGGGATAAACTTGATTCAAAGACCAAGAAGTGTACATTCATTGGTTATGGGTCGGATGAAATGGGTTACAGGCTTTGGGATAGTGAGAGCAGAAAGATAATCCGAAGCAAGAATGTCACCTTTAACGAAGCCGAGTTATACAAAGACAGAAACAACAAAAGTCCAGAAGATCAGAAGGAGTATGTTGAGTTTGAAGGTGTTGAAAAGAAGAAAGAAGCTCCAGTCGAAATCCCTGAATCTGGGGATGATTCAACTGACAGTGGGAGCTCAGGGGATAATTCTAGTAATGATTCTGAAGATGAAGAAACCAGTCCTCCAACTCCAGAGTCCCCAGTCACACCTCAAGTTCAACTAAGAAGATCTTCCAGAGTCATAAGACCACCAAACAAATACTCACCATCTGTCAACTACATTCTTTTGACAGAAAACGGTGAACCCCAGTGTTACTCTGAAGCTATAGGGTTGAAAGATTCATTGCAGTGGGAGCTAGAAATGAAAGATGAAATGAAGTCGCTTGAGAAGAACAACACATGGCACTTAACAAAGCTTCCAGTTGGGAAGAAGGCTCTTCAGAATAAATGGGTTTTCAGGGTCAAGGATGAACATGATGGTACCAAACGGTACAAAGCAAGATTAGTAGTCAAGGGCTTTCAACAGAAAGAAGGAATTGATTTCAATGAAATATTCTCTCCAGTAGTGAAGATGACCACTATCAGACTTGTTCTCAGTATTGTAGCAGCAGAAAGTTTGCATCTAGAGCAACTAGATGTCAAGACAGCTTTTCTACACGGTGACCTAGATGAAGACATTTACATGACACAACCAGAGGGTTTTCAGGATAAAGGCAAAGGAAACTTGGTGT